TTCCCAGAAGCAAGACTTCCTGTATGTTATACCGCTCAAGTAGACGATGAGCATTTCGGCGTATATTGTTGTAATCCTCATCATGGTTGACAATCGTTTATCGAAACTCCTGTATACACAAACGTATCGAGTACTCCCAAACTCCACTTTCGTCTTTAGTCCCATTACGGAAACAGGACAGCAAACGCATCTTATTCTCTTCTAAAGTAAAATGCTTGTCGGAGTAAACCTATTGCCTATTACACGCTACAACTAAAAAAACGTTTGTTATTCGAAAGAAACTGGTAGTCTTGAAAAAAGCCGTTTTGAAAAGGACGAAAGTATTCGAATAAGAATCACAAATCATGGTTTTGGTTTGTAAAATTATAGGTTATGTTTTGTATTGGTACACATATACCTGGTTGCGGCAAATGATTACTAATGTGATATTTTATAAGAGCGGCGCAGCATATGATTATTGATCTCCCTGTATATAAAAAGTTTATAGAAGTAAAGGTGTCTGTTAGAACGTACAATTACTATTATCTATTTCCAATGCATCACACGTTTTGATATTTTTATTGGTTAAATGTCTCCTACAATACACTAGTCTCTTTAGAAGTTTTATCTGTTATATACGTGTTGCTTAAAAACCCAAAAAATCGTTTAAAATGTTGAAAAAATTATGCAAACAAATCAAAATCATTGATTAATTTCTGACGAAGTTAATTTTCTTCCATCATTATCTCAAAAATGGCACACACTATCATTCAAATAATGTTAAAAAATAAAAACTATTGACTTACACATTGCGTCTGTATTTGGAATTGATTTACTATTGTTTATAGTGGCTGAAATTCCACCCATAAATAAAAATATGAAAAAAGCTAGTATCTCAAAATTATCATATTTATCGGTTCTAAATCAGCCTTAACACTTACCAGCGCGTTCATATTTTCCTCAGATTCAGATACCATATTATTAAGAGCGATCAATTCTTCATCATTTGCAGCCGGCATACTTTTTATTTATTTATTTATTTATTTATTTAGCATCAGCTGCTTTGGCTATTAGCTATTATTTAATAAGTGTTTTCTGTAGTAATTATAGTTTCCTTAAAATACCAGTTCTACTTAGAAGTAACAGTAATCTATTGACAGCATCAGTTGTATCTTCAAATATACTTTTTAGGTTATTAGGTAGATTTAGCTCTCTTCTCAGCCTTTCGGTCTGGCGGCACTCAATCAATATATGATACATCGACACATTCACTCCGCATCGCACGCACTCATTTACTCCTACCTTCCCTAGAAGATGGAGATGGGTAAGTTAGTATGGCCTATTCTTGCCCTCGTTAGCGCTGTAGATTGTCGCCTTGTAAGTAATCTAGGTTTCCATGGCTTAATGGACGGTTTAATGTGCCTCAGTTGAGTATTTTCAGAATGCCATTTCGTTTGCCACAAGTCATTGATATTAATCTTTATCCTATATTTAAAATCTTCAGATAGAACGGGTATCATATCTACATTTGTTAAGTTGCTTCCGTTTCGTGCGAATTCGTCGGCCTCTTCATAAATATGTTTCTGTGGGATCACAGTAAACAGTACCTCCATTCCTGGGAGTGGTATCAGCAATTCTGTCTAACTGCAACTTAATATCTTGAATGTCATGTCTTAGCTGATTGACATCATACTGGAGCGTGTTAAATTTTTGCAGGAGAACTTTTTGGAATGCTAAAACGGTAGAAGAAATATGTAAGTAATTGGTTCTTTGGCCTAAAGTTCAATACATACGTGTAAGAGATGTCATATCAACACCACTCTGAGCCGAATGAGTTGATGACGGCATAGCTTGTTGAGAAGCCGTGACATCTAAAAATGCCAGTACAATTTCTGGTTAAACTACACTGCAAAATCTTAAACGGAATTATTACCCACCAATGTGTGATGCTTTCCGTTTTTCAACAGCAAGTGCGGGTGCAGTTTGTAAGTTTTCCTCAAAATGATTAGGGCCTGTGTAATCTACAAAATTTGTTTTTAAAAAAATTTACTGAAAGTTACTAGAACTTACTTCTCAAAGTTACTTCTTCATCTGATGAATGTAATACACTACCCTCCTCTTCATAACCGCTCATGTCCTCTTCACCTTCCGTTGATTCAATATTAGATTGAGTTAAACCCTTTTCACAATAATATTTTGCATCCTTCAAAGTCGCCAGATTTGGTTTTTGTACTGTATCACTATATTCTTTATATTTATATATATATACAGGGTGTTTTTTTGGGAGCTTTAGTTAAAAGTTTCTGGGAAAGTAAAATAGGTAGGATTTTGAAAATTTGTACTTAGGAGTTACTCTGAAGGCCGAATCGATGTAAAATATTTTCAAAATGGCCGCACTTCCGGAAACACCGGAAGTAGATAGTAACTTCGTTATTTTAAATTGCAACCCCTATTTTTTATTGCATTTTTGGATTCTACGTGAAATTTCAGTTCTTTTGATACCCATATGTCATATCTGCCATTTATGGTTTTTAAGTTTTTTTGACTTTAAGAAAAAAAAATGGCGGATGCAGATGGTACCTTGATAATTGATTACTTGAAAAAGGTTATAGTCATGGCAACCCATTTTTATCAGTGCATAGAGAATGAATAGGGCTTTCTTTTACTGTACTTAAAACAAAGTTAAGTTGCGTACAACCGCACCTATGGAGATCCAAATTTAAGAAACTTCAAAGTCTATAAACTCAGTTTTTTTAAATGGAATGACCATGTTCTTACTATTGCATGAGAGAGAGAATCGAAATTGGCATATTTTGATATTACATGTTCCTATAGCTATCTTTAACAGTTTCTGATTTATTCCCATTTCATTGAATTGATCTCGGAATTGATGCCATTTTTTTCGCATTTTCTTTTTAGCTGGCCATGATTTTATAACAATCGAATTTTAAACAAATCAAGAAATTGATTCTTTAATACCACTGATTCTAGTTCTAGTCTAAATAATTCATTAATAAATAACTCATTTATTAAGGATATAGGACAGAAAATTTTTGAAAAATCTAAACAGAGTCGTTCAACTGAATTTCTTAAACAACGTATAAGTCTGGAAATTAAGAGAGAGAATGCGATATCTGTTCTAGCAACAATTCCATACCAAAAATGTTTCAACAAAGTTTTTTATATTTTGCATTGAATTTATTTTGTTAATCTTGCATTTGCAATTCAATTCAGTTTCTTAAATATTCTCTTGTAGAGCTTTGTATAACTTGTGCTTCAACGGTTTGTAGTGCATTAGGGGTACAAAATTTCAAAAATTCATACAATTTCGTTCTAGTTTTCGAATGAATGTACGGAAAACACGCGCCGCGATTCTGCCCATTTCACCAGAAATAACAATTAAATTCCAAAATAGGTGAAACCACTGCGAGTCATTTTTCGATTTTTGAAAAACTTATGTTAACCTATAACAGTGGATGATGGATTAGTGTCACTAGATTTGTTTAAAATTCAATTGTTATAGAATCATGGCCGACTACTAAAAAGAAAATCCTAAAAAAATAGTGTCAATTCAATAAAATGGGAATAAGTCAGAAACTGTTAAAGATAGCTATAGGAACATGTATTGTCAAAATATGCCCATGTCGATTCTCTATCTCATGGAATAGTAAGAACATGGTCATTCCATTAAAAAAAACTGAGTTTTTAGTCTTTGAAGTTTCATAAATTTGGATATCCATAGGGGCGGTCGTACGCAACTTAACTTTTTTTTAAGTGCACTAAAAGGAAGCCCTATTCATTCTCTATGCACTGATAAAAATAGGTTGCCATGACTACAACCGTTTGCAAGTAATCAATTATCAAGGTACCATCTGCATCCGCCATTTTTTTTCTTAAAGTCAAAATAATTTAAAAACCATAAATGGTAGATATCGACATATGGGTATCAAAAGAAGTGAAATTTCACGTAGAATCCAAAAAAGCAATAAAAAATAGGGGTTGCCATTTAAAATAACGAAGTTACTATCTACTTCCGGTGTTTCCGGACGTGCGGCCATTTTGAAAATATTTTACATCGATTCGGCCTTCAGAGTAACTCCTAAGTACAAATTTTCAA